CGCTTGTAGAAGGGCAGTGAGAAACCTGTGTCGATGAACTTTCCATGGAACAAGGCCTAGAAAGTGAACAAATGTATTACAAACAACAGCTGGAAACAATTAAGATACATTTCTATGAGCCCACGTGTATATTTTTGTCATTTGAGATCTGATCATAAGAATAAAATGCTGCATGATTTACACATTATGACACAAAAACATGCTCCATCCTGTGGGCCAAAGTAATCATCGTGTTCACTTCAGACACAAAGTCATTGTCTTTTTGTAAATCACGCATGTACCATGGCGATGAAGCGTCCTATGAACTTGAAGTACTTGAGGTGATCGGGGTTGATGTAGGACGCCGGGTTGATCTGCAGACAGTAGTTGTCCTTGCCAGCATACTCAAACAAACAGTACATGGGGTTCAGTACCTCATGAGAGAGCAAGAAGAACCATTCCCTGAAAATAAACAACGGAGGACAAAAAAAACAATTACATGGAAGTGCTCGTACTGGTCAAGGTAGTTTGTAAAATCCTGTAGATCAGGTTTTAAGTTAGAAATTAGATGTGTTGTTATTATTACAACAGTTTTTGTATGATAAGGGTGGTGTCGACAAAAACTACAAATGAGAAGAAAACACACCTTAGGAGTCATTCAATAAGACGCGATTGTGCAAACAAAAGACCCGGTTGACATTACCTGGCCACACCTCCGTAGTCCAAGCCTTCCTCTCCAGGAAAAATGATCCACAGCCTCCGCCTCAGATCTTGAGGGTGGAAGCTCATGATCTTCGAGTGCAGACAAAGAAGTACAACAGTTACACACCTCAAACATTAACGAAACAATCCTGCTAAACAGAGAACTGGAACAGAGAAGACCGTTTACTAAAACGATTACCTGTTGAAAGGAATCCTCAAACAAGGTTTTCCTGGAGACGTTAATCTTAATGTGCTGCGGCATCGACAATTGCTGAGAGAAACAAACAAATATGCGCATTTTAGACAATATGAATGCTTTGAAAAACAATGAACATCTTTTATCTTTGCACATCATTCGAGACATGAATGATGACTAGAGACATGCGTGCCCACGAAGTAGCAGCACTGGAGATAAAAGAAAGATACAACAATCATGGGAGATAACAAACGCGTTTCAACACCTGCGGTGCAGCACGTACCTGACACCAGAACCTGAGGTATTGCACTTTGGCTTTGAAGTCCCTGACATAGGTTATCTGCGGCCCATTCTCACTGCGGAAAAGACAACAAGCACATTTAGTCAATGTATGCACACGTTGTGAAATGGGACATGTTGCTGCCCCTGTATCCCAGCATGCCGTTTAGGGATGCTCTAATCAGGCTTTTAAATCATCATCGTAATGAGGATCATCCGAGAGGTATTCAACTTGAGCGCGTTAAGATTTAGAACATTGAAACAAGAACTTACAGAGAGGATTTCCCTGTGCGAGGGTCGATGTAGGTTGTGGTTCTCCTGTTGTGGTCTACAAAGTAGGGAATACCATCTACTGTGAACCGCATCTCCCAACCCTCTGGCAGGGGCTTGTCATTCAGCAGCCTGAACAACACAAACACACGTGAATACATACATCAAACACATCAACTGTTAAAGACACGATGAACAGATACACATACAATTTACATTGCAAGGGAATCAAATACGTCTTAATTGCAAGGCTTTTAAGACAGAACCAATTTGAAACCAAGCAATATATTTTTAAAAATGTACGTTAAACCTTCTGCATTCTATATTTTCAGACCTTTAAGATTGTTTGCATGCGTTTGTCCTGTGATTATCCACCTACTGGTGACTCATACAGGTTAGAATAGCTAACATCCTGGAGCAGATAGAAGTCATTTCCTACTTAAAGATAGTTCATTCCATGTATTCCTAACCCTAAAAAGAAGGTGCACATGTGTGTCTCCCCAGTCTTCATACATCACTGCTAACGCCAGCTAGGACTGATTTTCTACGCTGTTTTAGAAATACTGGAGCTGAGCAAGTTGCTGACACATTAGCGCCTCTTACAGGCAATCAAACAAAACTACAGCTAAGTCAGGCAGAATCACTTACAGTGATGTCAGTATGAAGATACACATAACACACACTCACCACTCACCCTTGTGTCAAGATACACATGACACACAGGCATACACTCACCCTTGTGTCCTGGGGTCCTCCCACTGTGTCGCCCGAGTAGGGTGATGGACAAAATACACTCTGCCGTTGGTGTCTGTTCTCTTCTCTGCCATAAAAAAAACCATGATTTTTTTTTTATATATATAATTCTCTATCAATTGACTGCAAACATCGCAGTGAAAATACCTTTACTGTGTAAACTACAGCTAAAATAAAAAATAAAAGCTCAGTGATATTTACCCCAGCCATGTGGCAGTGGTCCCAGCGGGTCAAACTCTTTGTTGGCCGTGGCTGCCAACTGGTCTTGGAGCTGAGAGAGAATGGGACGCATGTTAAGTCTTAAAAAAAAAAAAAAAAAAC